AGACAGTGCACCGTTTCGCCTAAGGGCTGCTAAATCTTCTCGAATAAGCTCTTGAAATGTGTCTTTTTCTAAATCGACAAATTCTCTAATTTTCATGGGCAAATCATTCTATGGCTTTTGGTTTAGCAGACACAGCAATAAACGTTCTGTGTTAAAAAAACATAACCTCGTTCTCGAATGTCCGAACATAGGTATCTTTGGACGTTTCGACAGTACATCGGTGCAACGAGAGGAACTTAATTACATATGTAGAGTGCCCATGATGTTCCACCCATCAGTATCGAGTCATCATCTTCTCTGACGTTGATGACAAACCGAAACAATGATAAGCATGGCTGGAAGAACTAGGCGTTTACTTTCATTTCAACCTTAGCAGAACATAGATGAGTGTGAGGATAGACCACTTTATTTTGCCCACCAACAGGTTTAATGTATGTAAATATGTAGATATAGATCTGCGCTTGTAGCTGGATTCGAGTAAGTGAGTGAGTGATCGATTGGTGGAAATAGCGAGATCATCACTGCAGGATAGACAGAACGAAAGAAAAAGCTAGATAAATACCCGAGACGCATGATTTGTTTCTAGTAACTAGAAGCCTGAATAATTTGTCTCTGTTTACTGAATAAAGAGGGGACCGATTTCTCTTGGAAAGTATGTAACTAGAGAGGTTCACACATGGATAGATGATGTGAACACCCTTTAATCCGGACAGTATTTCCAATAAAATAGTCCGGACTATGAAATGTACGGACTAAGGACGTTTACATGGCCTTCCCCTATATATGGACTCCCAGTAACGGTGGTTTTAAACTAACGGTATCTGGACTAACGGGTTTCACTGCCGAGGGAAGGTAAAGAAATATGTCTTTACAGCCATGGTTGTAGATATACATAGGATAGTATGTAAGGAGTGTAAAGGCAACACCAACACGAATTTTGCCATCCATGCAGCCTCGTCTCAGTCACAGCTTTTTACATCCTGGAATATATCTTGTGAATATTTTAAAAGTAAAGTTTTTAGTACCAACCACACATGTTCTCAAAACGGGTTCTTTGATCTTCCAAGGGTGTCAACGTGTCTTTCATATGTCAAGACGCTTGTTGTTTCATTCTACTCTGCTACTGCCTCGAAGATACACATGTCTGCTTTCAACGCTCTGCGGTCTAGTTTGTGTGTTTTACGACCCTGAAGTTTTTAGCAAATTCAGTGTTATCATATCATTGTAGATACGTTGTATGATATGTTTTCACGTGTTTCGTATAATATTTATCATCAGTTATCATATAGTGGCGCATATTTAACGAATACAGTAGCAAACATATATTTATTTAATGTGGCCAGGTAAAAGCATATTTATAAAATAAGTGTCGTATACTATCTGTCACAACATATTACGAAATAATTGTATGATTATAATATGATGAGTGTTGATGTATATCATATATGTTTAATACGTGTTTAACTTATAAATAATCGATGCTTTGTGAGAATTAGGTAAAGCTCCATGGATGAATGCATGTTGTTTAACGACGCAATGCTCCTTCTCAGTCGAAGCGGTCTGAAACTATGACGTCGAGATCATACAAACCTGTGACTGAAGGCAAGAGCGAATCTGTGGATAACTGAGGGGACGTCCACTCCTAATTAGTCTAGTCATAGAGAGTGACGACCTTGATCCACTTGGTTGAATGGTCTCTTTGGTCTGTTGGGCAATTTCGCGGTATACGTTTTAAGATAATAGAGTCATATGACTGTTAGATCAATATCAGTCGATTGGTCTGATGGGTGACTTCGAGGTAACATTTTCCGATAAAAGACTCATATGACTGTAACATATATTCCAGTTGACATGTCTGTTGGTGACGTTGGTCTACTTCGAATTAAACAACATGACTCTTAGCTACGTATTAGTTGATTAGCCTATTGGGCTACTTCGAGTTGACCATAGTTTCGAAATATAGACCTCATATAACTCTTAGCTATGCATTAATCGATTACATTGTTGTGTCTGTCAAGGGTAAACAAGGGTAAACAATTCGAGACAAAGGCCTCACACGACTCTAAGATTAATTTCAGCCGACTTGGAGAGTAACAACATTTGGAGATAAAGGACTGATATGACTCTAAGATAGAGCTGTGCCTCGAGATGAACATATTTCGACGTGTTCGACTTAACGAATGTTTGGGTAGACAGGGACCAGACAGACTGCCTTCGTCGACAGTCGAGACACGTCCACATTTAATTACAATGTCCAACATGTGCGGTTGAGTGAGAATGCTTACAGGCAATCCTGCTGCGAATGGATGACAATGATAGAGATTAATTATGCGTCGTTGTTAATGTTTATGTCGTTGTAAATGTTATTTATAGCATTGTGTTAGAAACTGTTGGGATAATTTATGGTCGCATGTTGCATGCGATTCTTCCATCTCCATGAAGATCCATGTCAGTTTTAAGATGCGACTAACGGGATCGGATGGTCAGGCTCGCTGGCATGGTTGATGCATGGCATCCCCACTGTACAGAACGGTGCTCATGTAGTCAATCACTGGATTGTCTGGTCCAGGCTCGATTATTTACAGACAGACGCCATATAGCTGGAATATTGCTGAGTGTATGAAACAAAAAATAAGAACACAAACAATATTTGTGATAGGTTTCTGTCTGCATGATATTGTTAGATTGTTGTCTATAACCAACTCACTCACACACCGTCTGTGGGTATTCACTGGGTTAATGACTTTTCGGGTTTGCAAACTACGGGATATTTCCGACGTGTGGTGTGAATGACTCCCGTGATGATTATATTAATTTATGATGATAACACATATTTACAACTAATATATTCGAGCATTAATATATCATCAGGGTTGAAAATAAAAGGAGGGTGTCTTTTGCCATGGTTACCAGTGATGGGAGTAATTCTTTACGCATGGCATACTTCTGTTTGTTTGTTGTTTAACGCCGAATTCTGCAATATTCCAGCTATATGGCGGTCTGTAAATAATCTAGTCCAGTGATCAACATCATGAGCATCGATCTAATAGTAACTGGTATTTTTCTGTTCGTCGTCACTGTTGCCGTTTTCTCTGTAGTCTAAGAAACCTTCATTCCCTGTGCAGATTTGTGGGAGCTATAGACGTCCTATCGTAGGTTCGAATCCCAACGCGTAATGATTATGTTTCTAGTTTGTCAGCAAGCCTCGATGTTTGTTTCACCAATTGGTAAACGTCCTAAGTCTACGTCATATAGGATAGACCCGCTTTGATGTAACTGCAGTACCGTATATAACATCGACATAAATATGTCAACAATATACAATATAGACGTATCTACATCGCAAGGGATGTCAACAGCATAGATATATATATGTTAACAACGTCGAAGTAAAGATGTCAACAGCATAGAAATATAGATGTTAACAACGTCGAAGTAAAGATGTCAACAGCATAGAAATATAGATGTTAACAACGTCGAAGTAAAGATGTCAACAGCATAGAAATATAGATGTTAACAACGTCGAAGTAAAGATGTCAACAGCATAGAAATATAGATGTTAACAACGTCGAAGTAAAGATGTCAACAGCATAGAAATATAGATGTTAACAACGTCCAAGTAAAAATTTCACTTGCATAGAAATATAGATGTTAACAACATTAAAGTACAGATGTCAACAGCATAGAAATATAGATGTTAACAACGTCCAAGTAAAGATGTCACTTGCATAGCAATATAGATGTTAACAACATCGAAGTAAAGATGTCAACAGCATAGAAATATAGATGTTATCAGTATAGAAATATAGATGTTAACGTCGAAGTAAACATGCCAACAGCATAGAAGCACAGATATTAACAACCTTGCAACAAAAATGTCAACAGCATATAGATAAAGGTTCTAACAACAACTTAACAACAGAAAAATGTTCTTGACATCGTAGTTACATGAGAGAAACAATGATGTTAACACACAGTAAGATGGAAATAGATCATGATATATGCCCAGGCACGTACCCTTGGTGTATATTGCAGATGTATGTACCTTTGATGTATGTACCTTTGACATGGATAAACCTGACTATATCGTGTTCGGGACGTCCATGTACGTGTGTGTGTGTGTGTGTGTGTGTGTGTGTGTGTGTGTGTGTGTGTGTGTCTCTCTCTCTCTCTCTCTCTCTCTCTCTCTCTCTCTCTCTCTCTCTCTCTCTCTCTCTCTCTCTCTCTCTCTCTCTCTCTTTCTGTGTGCGTGTGTTTGTACTAGTCCGATCTCCGAGTCCGAGTCCAGTCCTTGTTCCATTCCCATCGTGCCAAACGAAGGTAGGGAAACAAGTGACATCTATTAAGACGCGGCCATGGGATCGAACCAGTAACTTTCCACTCCACGGGCAGACAATCTTCCCACTGGACCATTTAGGCGAGCTAGGAAAATATCGTTATAACTAAAGTATCGATATAACTAAATTTGCACTGATGCAGAAATGGCACCAAACATCGTGGTCCTGAAGTAGCAAGCTGTGGCTATATCTATACTGAGGACCAAATGAAATTGTGCCTTTCAGTTCATTTTATCATGTGTTCAGTTTTCAATAAAATATCTTAAGTTATGTTATATACTTAAATCTTAACTGTATTCACGCTTAGTCAGCACTCAAAGAATTCTTCTACGTAGTTATGGTTTTACAATATTCTAAAAATTAAAAATAATCGCACAATAAATAATTGATAATGGGTACTTGGGCATATATCTTTGTAAAGAAATACATTTGGACTTTCTTTACTCAGTCCACTCTTTAATGAATCAACGTTTGCGCAAAATTAACCAGCCACAGATTACTTTTTACTGTCTTTGCCAGGAATGTGTACTGTCTTTTCCAGGAATGAGACATAATTTTTAACATCAGTGTTTTCAATTTTAAGTCACATAAAACAAACTCGGCATACTTTCTTTTGTCCCTCAGTATATACGAATGACGTCACTGATCGTTGTTTATTTCCAGCAGATCCTCATGTCCAGCAGTCCGCCCACGACGACGTCCAACTCGTGCTGCGAGAATGGCCGGACCCTAGTGACCAACCCCCACACTGGTCAGAGCGTCTGTTCCTGCCAGTACACCCCATCCCTCCTCTCCTACTCCCGCGTGGCCGGCCTCGCCGACAGCGTCTACCCCACAACGCCATACGCCACACAGGGCTATGTGCCGCTGGGCACCGACCCATCCGCGTTTTACCCTCCTTTGGTGAGTACAAGCTGACCTGTGACCTCGAGATCACAAATGACGTCACTAAGGGCGCTTTAAAACCCGAATTTGTTCCTTTTATGTCTTTCAATAAAAATAGGTTATACCTAATGTTCTGTAATTTCGGACAGTCGTTGATGGAGATTGTTGATCAACGAAATAATTTGCTTATGGCAACAGTACCATTTCCTACGGTTTTTGTATTCTGTCTCAGTTAATGGGCGAAACACTTTTCGTGGTCTCGTTATGACAGAAGAGTCAAGTCTACAGGAGTGAATCGCTCCATCCTTCTGGATCAGGTGAAAGCTATCAAGTATTTGTCACTATAAAAAGCAATAGTTCTTGTGTCCAAATCCTTCAATCTCAATCAACAAGGCTACCAATCTCTCCAGTGACAGATGGGCTGAGTGTCCAGTGCATCTTAAATCCGTTGTGTGCTTCATTTACATAATATCATACTGTTGTATTCTTGTGGATATGAGACAGCACATCGGTATAATTAAACCAATATAATGACTGTTTTAGAATTTGATTGGAGATTAGCATGGTGACTGTCTTTACATTAGACAGGAGTCTAGACACAGATACCATACGACGGACCTACAGACATGAGATATAGATACCAAGCATCAGATTTACAGTCATGATACAGATACCATACGACACACATGAGACACAGATACCATACTTACAGACATGACACACATACCATGCACCAGACTTACAGTCAACACCGATACCAGACTTGCAGACATGACACAGAGACACAACAGACCTACTGCTCTACACAGGTATCACACAACAGACCTACTGCTCTACACGGGTATCACACAACAGACCTACAGACATGACACAGACAACAGCCATCAGACTTACAGACACGACACAGACAGCAGCCATCAGACTTACAGACACGAAACAGATATCAGCCATCAGACTTACAGACACGACACAGACAGCAGCCATCAGACTTACAGAGACACACGAAACAGATATCAGCCATCAGACTTACAGACACGACACAGACAGCAGCCATCAGACTTACAGACACGAAACAGATATCAGCCATCAGACTTACAGACACGACACAGACAGCAGCCATCAGACTTACAGACACGAAACAGATATCAGCCATCAGACTTACAGACACGACACAGACAGCAGCCATCAGACTTACAGACACGAAACAGATATCAGCCATCAGACTTACAGACACGACACAGACAGCAGCCATCAGACTTACAGACACGAAACAGATATCAGCCATCAGACTTACAGACACGACACAGACAGCAGCCATCAGACTTACAGACACGAAACAGATATCAGCCATCAGACTTACAGACACGACACAGACAGCAGCCATCAGACTTACAGACACGAAACAGATATCAGCCATCAGACTTACAGACATGACACAGACAGCAGCCATCAGACTTACAGACACGACACAGATATCAGCCATCAGACTTACAGACATGACACAGACAGCAGCCATCAGATCTGGAAGGTCAGTGAACCACGTGGATTGCATGCACGCCTTTGTTCCTTCGTGCAGTTTATGCCCGCTAATGCTTGAAACTGTCATGTTACCTCCATGCAAATATCCAATGGCAGGAACATTAAGGTAAATTTACATTAACAACTTGTCATAACTGTTCGCCCTGGAGTAATCGGTATAAATTATGGACGAGGAACTTGTACCATTTGTTTTCACCTTTTAACGAGACATATACAACCTAACCCTTTTTCTACAAATGTGAACGGCTTTTAACCCCCCTTACAGACCAATAAATACAGTAAGTGTTCCAATAACGTACTTGTAGTTTTATCCTCTTTCTCAATCTGAACCTTGTCACTCTATTTTTAACAATTTCTAAAAACGAATCTAGGTCTACTGTCCCCTCACCAATGCCAAATGAACGCCTGTTAAACGCGAATTATATATATGTTCCTGTGACTTCTTTAGAATTTGGGCATCTTAGAATCATATTTATTGAACACAACATACATGAAATGACGACATAGAAATGCTATACTAATATTAATGGACAAGAGAGACTAAGCCAACTATGTGATTTAAATACTGTCGAGGATGAGTACTATTTCCTTCTTGTTTGTCCGCTGTACTCAGATCTTAGAAGAAAATATTTACCAAATCGTTTTTATAGATATCCAAACGTTATTAAATATATTTCAGTACTAACAAGTATACACAGTTTAGTACTTCAGAATGTATAAATGATTATACCCCATGCAACATTACAAAGAAAAAAATATATATTTGAAAAAATACTAGGATACAATTCGGGCGAATATAAATGTATGTATGTTTAATGCACTGTAGGCATGTGGCCTCTTCTGTGCGGAATAAAGGTTGATTGACATAGAAATGTACACTTCTCTGGATGAGGTAAAAAAATAACGTTAAGGACAGAAACTAACCAGTCTCCATTATCGGGGGAGATTGCTTCCTCTGGGGTTATTAGGCAAAACAATGTTGAAATATATCTGCATGGACACATGTATTAAATTTATAAACAGTACGAAGCGGCGTGTTGTCATAAGTCTCAGAAAATATGTGTACATAAGATGCAGAGGTTGTGTTGTAAAACATCTGATCTTAGGGATGTATGTTGCATCACTGAAGAAAGTACGTTCTGACACCGGGAACACAGTCTGTACACGTAGCTATCCCCGTGGATTTCAAGCTGTGAATACTGTCTCCGTCTTCTTCTAAGCAAATGCTATGACATGTCAATCATGCAGCTATAAAGGTGTCAATTTCACTCAATAACCCAAGACAACATATTTTAATATCGTCACAGATGCTATCCTTCTATTGTCAGTTTCTCTCAGTGATGACAAATCAATTTCTACACCACAGTCACGATTATAACTTAAACTGGAATCTTTAGGGCTTTTTACATACTGCAAGAACATCGATTGTTATTAACAATCAGGTTTAATTTCAATCCAACTGTCTCCCATGCTATAAATAGAATCAGTCTCTTTGTCACGCCACATTGTAAAGCATGGCTTGAAACGTAGGCTCTAACAGATGTTTTCATAAACTTTGTGATTAAATTACCCCCGTTCTACTGGCGTCGTCAAATGTTGAAATATACAACGGCTTTCAATCCATCAATTTCTTTAAAAACTTTTAGGTAAGTGAAATAAGCAAGACTTGCTGGTCGATACCCATTTCTTCCTCTATTCTGTGTTGAAATCGATTACATTTTGAAATACACCATAGACGTTGAAATTCGCTTTTCTGTCGCAGTAGGCAAACCGAAAGGGTTCTGAAATCGATGATTTTACTGCAGACGCGTATAGAGCAGGACCGGTGTCAGTATATCGATGTCCGCTCGGGGAGCTGGTGCCTGGCTTGTAATGCATGTTTGTCTATTTCAGTAGCGACACAAACATGTATGTTAGCGGGCCAGTTAGATGAATGAACATTATGGAAAATGTAGGTGTGTGTGTATATGTATTGGAATCATGATTTTTTTTTATAAACACAAGAAATACTTTTGTAGCAAAAGCACGCCTGATTTACTATAATCTGATGGTGATTGTAGAGATGGCTACGATGGATGAATGGGTAGATTGGTGGTTAGATGGAAGGATGGATGGGTCTGCAGACTTGTGTAACTGTGAATAGACGGATGGGTCAGTTGGTTGATGGATGGATGGATGGATGGATGAGTCTGCGGGTGGGTGGACGTATGTATCTGTGAATAGGTTCAAGGGGCAGTTGGTGGATGGATGGATTGGTGGATATATGGAAATGTGGATTTATGTAACCGTGGATAGTTGGATGGGTCAGTTGGTAGATGGATGGATGGGTGGATTAATGGGTGGGTGGATTTATATAACTCTGAATAGATGGATAGTTCAGTTGGTAGATGGATGGAAGTGTGTATGTGTAGCAGTGAATAGATGGATGGGTCTGTGGTTGGACTGTGAAAAGTTGGATGGGTCATTTTATAGATGAATGGATGGGTCACTTGATAGATGGATGGGTCTGTGGATGGTTGGACTTATGTAAAAGTTGGTTGGACTGTGAAAAGTTGGATGGGTCATTTTGTAGATGAATGGATGGGTCACTTGGTAGATGGATGGGTGGATGGTCTGCGGGTGGACTTATGAATCTGTGACTAGATAAATGGGTAAGTTGACAGACAGACAGATCCTTCCAATGCGTGTTTGAGCTTTCTACATAAATGTTATCTAATAACTAATCAAATACCACGAACAGTTGTAACCTGAACGGCGACGGATAAAACTGCATCGTCGGTTGAAAGGAAGATCAACCGTCTACTGTATCTCTGAGGCAGTAATTGAATTATCACATACACAGAAAGGCACAGCAAATATCGCATGTCAAGAACCCAGTTAACGGGATTAAGTGTAAGTCCCAACTCATCTCTCGAGGTTCAGGTGAAGATCTACCTGCCTCTATTCGCACAGGTAAATATGCCGACAGGATGATGGATGCCCACTCGAGTGGTCATCTGTGGTCACTGTACGTTCCTGGCCCGGAGTGTTAACTGTTGCGCGTGTCAATATCGACGATGATTGACGGGCTCACTTGATTGATTGAGTCAATAGCCGCCATTACTCCTGGTGTGGTTCACACGCTGCCTGTGTATGAGGAGAGCAGATTAATGTATAATGTTAGAAACCGGAGAGTCAGTCCTACACACATCCCTGGTACCTGTAGCACAGAGCCATATCTGACTTTGTACATTCTGTGAGCTTGTACGTTACCATGTCGCTGTGTCAGTGTGTGTCAAACCGTGCTGGTTTAGGGTTTCTCTGCATATTGTTCAACACCGCACTATCCCAGGTATATGCTAAATAATCCAGTCTGTGCCTCACCATCAGCACCGACCTAAGACAGGTATACGATTGCATCAACGAAGTCAGCGAGCCTGACCACCCGATGCCTTTGGTGGTTTCTTATGACTGGGTAATTTTAAATGGATCTTCACGGGAATGTATTTCCTACCTGAACAATACCGAAAGACGATGTAGTTGTATGAGAGGTAGTGGTGGTAGTAATATTGCCGTTGTTACCACTAATAGTAGAAGTGATAGCAGTCATAGCTGCAGTGATAGTAGTAGCAGTAGTAGTAGCAGAAACAGAGGTAGAAGTAGTAGTAACAGCAGCAACAATGTTGGCAGTAACGGCAGCAACAGCAGCAGCAACAACAGTAATGGTAGTAGTAGCAGCAGCAGCAGCAGCAATGTTGGTAGTAACGGCGGCAACAACAGCAGCAACAACAGTAATGGTAGTAGTAACAGTAGTAGTAGCAGCAGCAATGTAGTAGCAGCAAGCAGCAGCAGCAATGTTGGTAGTAACGGCAGCAACAGCAGCAGCAACAACAGTAATGGTAGTAGTAGCAGCAGCAGCAGCAGCAATGTTGGTAGTAACGGCAGCAACAACAGTAATGGTAGTAGTTGAGGTTGAAGTAGTAGCAGCAGCAACAACATTGATGGTAGTAACGGCAGCAGCAGCAACAACAGTAATGATAATAGCATCAGAAGTAGAAGTAGTAGTCAGGGTTGTTGCATCAACATTGACAGCATTAGCAGCAGCAGTACTGACAGTAGAAACAGTAGTTACTGTCGCAATAGCAACAGCACCATAACGCCATCGTCATCAGTGGCTGTGTGTCTCCTGTACGCTATGGCCTGGTATCCGGCCTCTAATTTTTCCGGCAAGGGAACATGACTTCTACAGTAACATATATTTGTTGTCTCGTGGAGTTAAATATATACCTTAAACACATGAGAATATCCCCCTTGGCTATCTTCCTAAAGAGATTCCATTTGGGTAAACTGCAAAATAAAACAAAAGTATATGAATGTAAACACTGTATTAATTGATTTCTCCTCAAACATTTACAGGACTAAGTCACAATATTCACAAATCAATTTCACGATCAACCATCAAAAGAAATGTAACTTCTTTATAGTTTGGACTGTTTAGGATGAAAGGTGCATCTTTTTCGCAAGTGCACATAAGAAAAATAAATATACAAAAACAAATATAGACACATGTTTGACTGACTAATAATAAAACAAACATTAAACTATTACTCAGTGGGGATGAATTGGATACGGGTATTTTGGTTGTGTTCGCAGTGTTTCAGCAGAGCAACGTTTTCATAACGTTTGTATATTTTTTGCCTATTTTCTCAATCTTTTCTCCATTAGTTCACTAACATGAAGTATTTTGTGTAAGGATCGAAATCTGAACAAATAAGATTGTACCGTAAATTAATAATGGAACCATCGTTGTTGTACACGAGTGATACAATAATATAATTCGATCCATTTCCAAACTTACAGAATGTATTTCTTCATATTTGTAAAAACGGTGTATGATAAGTAACAGATGTATCCAGCGTAACGGAAGGCGACCAACCGGCGGCGGTTGTCTCTTGTCTATATCAGGCAGGTTTATATCAGGAAAAAAAACAATTTGTAAATTAACGCAATCTTGACCGCATCTGCTTCCAATAAAATTAATTAATGTATCTATCTGCAAATAAAATGAATTTATTCATCATCCGATGCCCTCAAAGCAAGTTCCTCTTAATTTCTAAAACTGCCACAATAAATTGCCGAGTGTGTGTATAATTAAGCGAGAGCAGTTCTTATGAAATATCCCAGAGCGTCATGCCACTTTTAAATTGGGTTCTCAGAATTTCTTCAGATGGCTATTTAAACGAAATTAAGCTAAGAGGGTCTTCTTGAAATAATTAAGGGGAGATAAGAATGCCGCGACGGCGCCTAAATCGGCGTTCGGGGTCCCTGATTAATGCAAAATATTCAATCTATAGTTTAAACACAATTTGATCAAGTCAAGATAATAATGAACTTGTATAACATCACTTCGCACAAGCATACCTCTTCCGAGCGTGAATCTAACTGTTGTAGATTAATGTTGCCGCGCATCAAACGACGAAATATAATAGCATCCTTATCAGCTGATTTCATAAAATTGGATTCCTCTGCCGAACTCGCAACTGAATTATTCTGTTATCAACACGTTGCATAAATAGGGTCTGGGGCGTTCTGCTTGGATTTGAGCATCCCTCAGATCAGTGTCTCTTGTGTTGGTTATTCATTACAGCAAACAATTAGATGTGTCTTAGTGTCTTTAATGTTGTAGCATTTACATCCTTTATTTAATCGTATACATACATAATAAAAAATGCAATTTACACAAATGTTTCAACAATAAACACAATAATTTTTATATAACTGGCATGAACTTCTCTGAATGTTCGGCTGTGCTTCCATTCAACCAGACAATAATTCTACCATGCATGGTTGCTTATGATTATATTTTTACTTTTTCTCATGATGGGCGTGTTTTAACTGGTCCATGGGTATAATATTGATATTTATTTGCTATTTTCACTTGTACAATATGAGGTGCGGTGTTAATCACCCTGCAGCACATTTCATATGAGGAACATTTTAACTCGCGGTCTTTAAAATATATAACTTTAAAATTAATTTTTAAATACATTTACAAACAAAATTTGAAACTGCACATTTTAAACTCGAACTTTTAATTTCACAATTCAGTGTAGCATTCATCTTCAAGCGTATGAGGCACGCGTCGTGCTTCAAGAACAAAATGTTAAAAATTCAAAATAGTTGACGGAATCGGTTAACAAAGTAATTCATCTTGTGTCCGTCAGTACCTAAGGATTCCTCTTCCAGTACAGCATCCCCCACCGCCCAGGCCGACTAAGTGATTTAATGTTATTCAAATTGAACACAGTAGGGGGGTATCCTAGTAATTAAACTTAACAGGTTCTTAATTGTCGCCTTCTGGTTTGAATGAGACGGCTATGAGATGATAATAGAAGCAACTGCTACAGACTATTACGTGCTTGGCATGAGTTGGCTCGTGTCTGAGAGGGCTTGTTTTTGAAATGGGGATTTCAGAAATATATTTACGTTTATTGGGAGTGAAGAAGTATTTTGTGCGATCTTGAACATTAAGGAGTTTAAACATCGGGTGTTTCTTGGAATATTTAATTTTGTGTTCGTGGTAGATTTGAGTATGAACGCGTGTTTGATTATGTTTCAGTTAAAGTTCATCCCTTAATGCGAGTACTTGTTAGAATGTATGTGTCTAGATCCTTGATGTCACTGTCAAATATAACTCCGTATTAATGCGTGTATATAGCTCCGTACCCTGTCGTCAGTGGTACGGTCACACAAGGGATTTGGTTGTGAATTTCATGTTTGATTGATCATGTTCTTTATACACTGGTGTGTCATTAACCAAAATCCCTTGAAAATGAATCCAATAGTGACTATAATTACGCACTATTTTTATTTAATATTACTCAAAACGTGTATATGTTTATGTCAGCCATTGGCATACTTTTGTCTTGACAAAAAGTGATACACGTTTCGTAATTTACGCTGTTATTCTGGTTATTCAGTAATTCAGAATATTTAACAGAATATGATTTTTGTTTCATATGGCGAACGCTTTCATTCTTTTCGCCAAAATCTGGTGTAACATATTCAGAGATCCAGACATATATATTTTTATCGCGTTTTACGGCCATCGAATCTATTTCGTGGGTCACTCGAGACTATTCCCTGGTATTGACGACTTTTATATTTAGTGTTCCGATTAGCGGGGTGTACTCAGTAAGAAAACTGTTTACTGTGAAAGAGACAAAGCCATTGTAAAATGCAACTTAGTTTCACTTCATATACAGTTTATGTTACGAATACTCCGAATGTCAGTGAAATGGGGGAATAATAGTATCTTATATGAACCTGATATTTTTAAAAGATAAACACAAACGACAAAGCAATTATTTCTTTGTTGTTTCCTCATACAGAACAAAATCAAATCGCAAGACAGATTATGAAACAACAATAGAAGAAACTTGATTGACTGTAATAAACGCTTGTCGATTTCAAGTGATTAATTTCACTTTCCCGATGGAATATCCTCTTTCTTTTGATGTTACCGAAACGCTAAGGGGGAGTGACAGACAGGTGGATGGACAGAAAAACAAATAATGAAAAGTGACCGTTCGTATCTCCTGTCCGATATCAATAGTCTGATTGATAGGCACATGCGGCGTCTTTCATCTTTTGCAAGATGTTAATTTCAAAAAAGGGATTAGAGACACGGAGAGAAACGTGATATATGATGTTTTGTTCGCCTGATATATTACAAAATATATCACACTGAACATGTGATTAATGATTCGAGCAAATCCCACGATGAATAGTCTATTGTTTACGCATATAGATGATTATGTAGGGAATAAATTGTCCATTTGAATTTAATTTCGATTTACATGTTAAATTGTACAATGGTAAACGAATAAAATAGCATCAGAGGTATAATAAAGATTTGAACTAAAAACTATGAACCTTTTCGCATGTTGTAATATATCAGAGAAAAGAAGATTAAGCATATAACTTACAGAGACTTAACATACAATGGTTACATATTACATGCATGCAATATATAGCCTGGCGACAAGAGTGGTGTAATGATCACAAAAGTAGCGAAACAGTTATTTCTTCCATCATATCCACTAGCTAGTTTTCTGTTTTCGTAAGAACTATCAATCTCTCCAATGGATAATAGGGACCTGATATTTTAACACGAAATAGATTAGAGATCAGTACAATATTTAACCAGATATCCGAGATTCAGCGTTGTGTCTTTGAAGTTTAATCTGCCGCATGCTGTCTCCATTTCTCCATGTTCATCCGTGTGTCTGGATGCACATGTTGTTATCATGTTTGTTGATGTTTACTGAGAGTTTATTGTGATTGTTTATGTTTACAGAATACTCATTACGACATCAAAGAACCCGGCGAGACCTGGCGCGGGATAAGTCAGCCCACTGCCTGCTACCCTTACGACCCCACAGTGTCGGCCTATCCTTATGGCAATGCGTAAGTGTAGTTGTATAGGAACATCTAAATGTCGTGAAGCAAGCTGACCTTTAGCAATGGTTTGATTCTGTCAGAAGTAACAAAAGATGTTCGTTCTTCAAGCGTATTTGGAAAATATATTTATTTTTAAGATCAGTAAATTAAGCTGAATGTCGTAAGTAGATATATAATTAGATGTAAATTTTTTCAGTCGGATGGTTAAGTTACGCTTTAATAATATTGGATAGGTTAGAAGTTGATGATTGGCAAATATTGCTCAGACAATGCTTTCTTCTTGTGCTTAACAATTCTTTGCATGTTCTTTATCCGAATGCGTTTTCGTACTTCTGTCAGTTGAATATATATTGCAATTTCGTTGTATTGAGGTTGTTTTGTGTGTTCATGAGTATATGTCGTGTTAATTTCACACTTGACATTTTTAATAACGAACACCAAATTAAAACATAAACCAGCCTGGGACAAGGCTTGGTTTAGTGTTAACTGTGTGAATGTTACTGTGTTGAACTGTCGGTTTTAGAATACGATGAAAACACTTCATAGTGAATCTTAACTTACATTTAAATCGCAATTGGTTGATGCTAAAATGCATTGCCTCGTCTCTGACGTTACAACCATACTTACATACAATGCAGTCTTGATATATTTCCCTTTGATGAAATATACATGTTTCTTGTTGAAATCAACACTCCTGTCACGGATAACTGACTATACAAGAGTCATGAAATGTACAGCTGTATATTTCGTAGAAAAAAGTGCAAAAAATACATTGACCCTAAGACTGTGGAACTTGAGTTACGTGAGTGACCCCTGGCCCCCCGGGGCTAGGTTGTTGCCTCACCACCCCGATGCTTGAGGGGGTAGTGGGTTGAGCAGACACAGAGGCGGACTCCGGTATTTCCAGATAAGATATACCTGGCACGATAATTCGATTTCAAACAAACCGGCAGTACCCCACTCAACCGAGGTGTGACTGAACTACGCGCAATATGATTAATACACTTACGTTTGTTAAACGTCCCCATGACAGATTGAAGAGGCCTTAAATGACAGAAATTGACAGGTCTTCAAATGCCATTGACATGTGACATTCTCTAAAAGCAAATTCCGTTATAGCAGCTTATAGATAAAAGTAATAAACATATTAATGTTAATGTGACATTGCCAGATTAGCACGTGGGCTTAGAGATGGTTTAACAAATTTTGCAATTTTTAAAATAATTTATCAATTTTAATTTTTATTCAATATTGTCGTGTTGCTGCAAGTTATTTAATTTAATTGCCATGTTAGTTTTTATGCAAGCATTTTGATAACCGCCTATTAATATTATCATATTATTACATGTATATATATTATTTATTATTGCAGTCATTGCAAGAGTACTGTATGTAGACATAGGAAATAATAATAAATAGTTCTTTTAAAAGGACACTTATCTATATAGTAAGAACTACCCAACTGGTGTCCAGTTGGGACCAGTTGCATAAAAGAACCTTAGCACTAATGCAAGTCTCAGTTAATGTAAGGGACTGACCATTGTATCAGCACTAAGGTCATTGTCTGCAAGACGGTCCTGGTGTTAGGCAGATTTGATTGATTCTACCGTTACATGTAGTTATTAAACCTATTACGGTCACCATTTGAAATAGACAGCACGGAGTGACACTTTGACCTGTTGAATGTGCACTGATGGACGCTTGTCTGGTGTTCTCCTTTTGAATTATTGGAGATATATTATCAAATTACCCTATTTATCATCATGTTCACTATGCTATACACTTCAGGCTGGGTATATGCCATCTGTACCGGTAGTTGATGACTAATTCCAAGTACGCTTAATATACTGCTCGAAAGAAGTTCAGGATCACACAATGTTTTATATTACTGTAGGTAATATGTTAGAAACTGACATATTAACTATAGAGATATTAAAGAATCGAATGCCCTTAACTTCTTTTGAGCTGCATACTAATCAAGCCCCACTGCACTACAGCTTCAGAGGATGGAGTCTACCCCCTTTCAGAAATTTGAAGAACACTGCAACACGTCCTGTATTCGCAACATGTGTATATATTAGTGCGCCAACACCAATGTTTCAACACTCACTCTACCTGTGAATTTCAGGGTTAGAATTGGTCTTCAGCAACCCATGCTTGTCGCTGACACATGTCATCGTATCCCAATTGCGTAGATCGATGCTCATGCTGTTGATCACTGGATTGTCTGGTCCAGACTCGATTATTTACAGACCGCCGCCATATAGCTGGAATATTGCTGAATGCGGCATTAAACAACCAACCAACCAACACACGAGTCAATATTCAAGCAGCGCAATTTGTTTGCAGGTACGGAACAATGGATCTGAACAGTGCAGCAAGGCGCAAAAACGCAACAAGAGAAAATACGAACACCCTGAAAGCCTGGCTGTACGAACATAAAAAGAACCCCTACCCCACAAAGGGGGAGAAGATCATGCTGGCCATCATCACAAAGATGACCTTGACCCAAGTGTCCACGTGGTTTGCCAACGCCAGAAGGAGGCTAAAGAAAGAAAATAAAATGACGTGGTCTCCTCGGAACAGATCTGGCGATGGGGACGACGACGACAAATGTCACGACAGCGATGACGACGATGTAGACAAAGATGAAGACAATGACAAAGATGATAAGGATCAAGATAAAGAAACAATAGGTATGTTCAAAATTTGAGCATTGAATCATTGTCAGTTGAACGTTGAAATAAGTGAGTGAGTGAGTTAGTTAGTATGATTTTACGCCACTTTTAGCAACATTTCAGCAATATCAAGGCGGGGACACCAGAAATGGGCTTGCATGACACATTGTACCCATGTGTTGAAATAAGTATTAGGAGGGTGTTGGTTAGGATGTCAGAAAGGTCTGTCAAAAGACAAATAAATGGACAGAGAAAAACGCAAACTATCAGCAATGATAAGCACTATCACACCCAGTGACCCGTGAAGGTCCGGGTTAGAATATTGATCTTCAGTAACCCATGCTAGTCGTAAGAGATGCGACTAACGGGATCGGGTGGTCAGGCTCGCTGACTTGGTTGACACATATCATCGGTTCCCAATTGCGCAGACCGATGCTCATGCTGTTGATCACTGGATTGTCTGGTCCAGACTCGATTATTTACAGACCGCCCGATGGAATATTGCTGAGTGCGGCGTAAAACTAAACTTGCTCGCTCACTCACTATCACACCCAGTAAACATACAAGCCTGGGCCAGATTATCCGATGTTTGAAACAACCTCATTTCGGTGTACATGCATCTCCATAAAAATCATCATCACCCCCCCTAGCCATAAATTATGAACGGTCCCTAAGCAACCCAATCGTACAAATTGTAACTCTGCGACAAGATGGGGGTGTTCTCGGATGGGATGCATAAGAGATCCCGGGGGAAATACCAGGTGGCACAGTAGATAATGTGGTGGTATCGCCGGGAGATCTGGTTTCAAGTTTAGCTTGTACAAAACTTCAAAGAGTCACGGCTAGGAAAAAATCAGTCTCAAATACCCGCCGAAACAGTTTCCGTTGCCCGAAAGCCAAAACAATGGGAAAAAAATATGAATGGGTCCCCAAAATGAGTGAAACCCTCGTGAAACAGTGAAAGATGTCCTGCTGTACCGGTAGCGCCTGCCACTCACATACTTCTCACAGGGACATTAGTGCCAGTGAATACGAGGTGTGAAAACTCCATTTATGGGTCATAACATAGGATAAAGTCGTGCATCAGGTTGGCAAGCGGCATGTCATATCAAATAAATTAACCTTTAAGTCTACAATAAATTTCTGTAATAATTTAACAGTCCTGTGAAAAAATAATTGAGAAGCTTACTTATTAAAAATGTCTTTCCGTAAATAAATGAAATGAATGCACATACTCTGACGTAACCGATCCATGTACGTTTTAAGAACTTTGTCTGCCTAATGCGGCGTAAAACCATAGTCACTCGCTCACGATCGTGGGAACCCGTAAAGATATACTGTTACTTATCTGGCGCTCATTAGTCTATGACAGGTTAAGTGTCCGCTAATTGACGCTTATCCGATCGAAGTGTATGTCACGGTGTCCTGGGAAATCTATAATACGTCACGTGATTGATTGACAGCTGAAACGTATATCCAAAGCACGTGACACAAGTCACGCCAAAATGGCTTCAGGTGGTAGCTTCCTTAAACTGTCAGTGATTGATAAAGGTTGCTTAATCGGGAAAATTGATCGTATACTGAAACACAAATATAACGCAACACCCCAAAGACTTGTGGTATAGGGCGTGTGAAAATGCCCACAGGTTCCTCATGTCAAAGTCTTCTTAATGACCACTGAATGGATTTGTTTACAGAGCAACATATAGCGAGGGAATTGGATATCGTCTTATTATTGTATATTTAATATGGTTTTTGCTTAAAGGCATTCACAATTATTCCGGTATGCAAATAGTCGTTTGGACTAGACAATCCAGTGACTGCCATTATTCGAATCAATACACGTGAATGGTACATGAGACAAGCCTCAAACAGTCGTTTGGATCAGACAATCCAGTGACTGACAGCATTAGAATCAACGCTCGTAAATGGTAGCATCACCCAAGCCACGGATCCTGTCCTCCATCCCCTTCGTCGCCATATACGAACAGCATCGGTTGCTAAGGAACAATATTCAAATCAGGAATCCCATGCACCAATTAATATGACACGTAGGTTGATAACTCGGTTGTTCAAATTGTAACCCCCCATACGTCAACCAATTTCGATAATATGCACACTGTTACCAATGCATTCCGTTAATCATGAACGCTGTGGGAAAGGTGTTAGCTCATCAGCCATCGTGAAGTTCGAGGTTCGATTCCCAAATGGTGTGGTGTTTAAACCTGCCAAACACTATTTACATGCTCACTCCTGGCAAACCAAGGCGAACAGTTGTTTCAAATTGAGCGACAGCGACCTTCTGTTGTGATAAACACATTCACATCACAGATTTGTTTGGGAAGCGACATCACCGACTCAAATCTGAAATCCCTCAAAGTTTCACTCGAGTTTAAAATGACACGACTGCTAGTTGTACGTCATGTTTTTTTTAATTCGGCTAAAAGTCTACGTCAGGGAAGGAAGGGGCCAGAGTATTAACGAAACAAAATGAAAACCTAATACTCTGCATAATCTAGATTGTTCAGTGAGGTAATGAGATCGGGTCCTGTTTCATTAATTGTTCTTGAAGTCCGAGATTCTCGTGGTTGTCGGACAATCCTGGCTGCCCCAGGCACACGACATGGTTTACACAAAACTTTATAAGGACATTTAATTGCAGATTTGTCAGTTTCATATCCAGTAGACGTTTTACAGTCTCGGCGTTGTAATAGGCGTCTACAAGTCTTGTCACAGATTGCAATGAAAGTGAAATAAATACTTCATGTTGATGACATGCTTCGGCATTGTCTGCTGTTAAGATGCAAGTGTTGTCATGCTGAAACAGTGCTCTTATGCTGAAACAGTGCTGTCATGATGAAACTTTGTTGTCATGCTGAAACTGTGTTGTCATGGTGAAAGAGTGTTGTCATACCTAAACAGTGTTGCTGTGCTGAAAGTGTCATACACCGAGCCTGACCATCACATCCATCTAGTCGCGTCTTCCAAAAGGGAGTGAGTGAGTTTAGTTTTACGCCACCTTTAGCATTATGTCAGCAATATCACGACGGGGGACACCAGAAATGGGTTTCACACATTTTAACCATGTGGGGAATCGAACCTGGGTCTTCGGTGTAACGCCCAGGAGCACCAGGCAGGGTGACATTAAGTACCGTCTTTTGACGTCTGTTGACATACACAAGTGGCATAGTTCATTGTTCATGCCTTCAATCACTCGTTTGTCGTCAATTTTATCAGAATATTTCGTACAGCTTAACAAATATATTTTGATTCTGACATTGGAAATTCTACTGGGATGTGATGTCATCTGTTAGACTGACCTCAATTGTTTTAATGTTCTTTTTTCATTTATTTAAAGTATGCAATACAATTTCTTGTTTCGCATTAACATTTCAAATTTGAAATTCCCCGAACATGTTAACTAAGGCTTAGTCCTGAAAATTTTGATAGAAACAAAGAACCTCATCTAAATTGAAGGTGCCCAAGTGAGATGGGTGATTCAGAAACAGCATTGCTTCATTTAGAGTTTTTGCACACAGTTAGGGCTGGGTGGAGTGAGTGAGTGAGTTTGGTTTTACGCCGCTTTCAGCAATATTCCAGCAATATCACGGCGGGGGACACCAGAAATGGGCTTCACACATTGTACCCATGTGGGGATTCGAACCCGGGTCTTCGGCGTGACGAGCCAACGCACTAGGCTACCCCACCGCCCCTCATCTGTTAGAGAATTTGAAATATAATTAGTTCAATATGTTCAATGTAAATATTTCATTTCCATAGGGGTAGGTAATTATATGGCTTCGCGACAGTTTCAGAGCCAAATAGGGAATGTTGTTGTCGCCTGTCTCCAAGCTCAAACTAGGGGCGGTGGGGTAGCCTAGTAGATAAAGCGTTCGCTCACACCAAAGACCGGGTTCGATTCTCCACATGGGTACAATGTATGAAGCCCATTGCTGAAACATTGCTAAAAGCGGCGTAAAAGTAAACTCACTCAAACACAAACTGAAAAGTCAGTGACCCACTGCTTAGCTAATCTAACATTTGTTTATTGTATAATTGTCTGTGCGGGCAGTTCATTTTGAAGTAATATTTCCATATAATTACCGTCATTCAATCGTAACTCATATACAAAATTATATTAATGTTATTTGGATGAGAATTTGATATTTCCACAATGCTTATTGCCCCGCTTCATTCTTTCATAAATTTAACACCCGTATTATAATTTAAATATAACTTCAATAAATAACAGTGAGGTATTTCAGTCTTAATCCTCGCCTGCGGAGCCAGGTATAATAGCATCATTATGTCGTTATTGCCGACTCTACTCTACTGGAAATAGAAGTAATTTCTACTTGATTACACCATGCATAAATCGTGTTGAGAAGCGAGGGTAACAGGTGGGGGGTTGGGGAATTCGGGCTGAGACGGTGGGTTGGGAGATGTGGAGTAGAGGGGTGAGGGCAAGGGTTAGGGGTGTGGGGTGTGTGCACAGGTGCAAGGGAGAATATGAAAGCTAATCGTGTTTATTTCAGTTTTTAGGCCATCGGTCAGTGTACATTGCAGTCCATCATAATACCTAGTACAGGATAGCAGCTTAAAGCGACAATAGCCACCTGCGACTGAAGGGAATATTTGTGAATATGGAGGTGGAGGAAGAAGAGTGAATATAAAGGTTGGGAGAATATACGTGAATATAAACATGGCGGAAATATAAGTTAATTTATATATACGAGAAGAATATTTGTGAATATGGAGCTGGAGAGGAAGAGTGAATATAAAGGTGGGGAGATTATACGTGAATATAAACATGGCGGGAATATATGTTAATATATAAATACGAGAAGAATATTTCTGAATATGGAGGTGGATAGTAACAGTGAATCTAAAGGTGGGGAGAATATATGTGAATATAAACATGGCGGGAATATATGTTAATATATCTACGAGGAGAATATTTCTGAATATGGAGGTGTATAGTAACAGTGAATATAAAGGTGGGGAGAATATAAGTGAATATAAACATGGCGGGAATATATGTTAATATATCTACGAGGAGAATATTTCTGAATGTGGAGGTGAAGGATAAGAGATAATGTAAAGGCGAGGAGAATATGTTTGAATATATACATGGAGAGAATATAACTTAACATAAAGAAGAATATTTGTGAATACACAGGATGGGAGAATATGATCGGGTGAATATGAAGGTGGGGAGTGGGTCGGTCTGTATAATGGAGGGTCTCTGGTGGAACTGTACATGTCGGATGAATCAATGCACACAAGTTGACTGGTCACCTGCAAGTGCAAAATAAGGTCTCGTTTCTTTCGTGCGAAATACAAAGTTGTCCGTCATCAAGTACAGCGCTCAGAAAACAACATGATTTTTTAATCTTCGTTGTTCTTTTTTATGCCAACACGTAGTTTTGAAGTCACATTCTAATGTCATACGACGTCAGATGCTTCAAAGATCATACGAAGTCAGATTCTTCAAATGCCACTCGACGTAAACGATCTGTTCAAAAGTCGCGTCAAAACGTTTGAGGTTTTTGTTTAAGGAATGACTGGGGATTCTGTTTGGTACCGGTTTCACCTATGCAACAGCTGTGAGGGTGCATAGATTTGGCACATGATTTTGGCTGCTGCATATTGCACTGGTATGGTTATGGTAATTTGTGATCAAATACAAAATTAGATTTTTAACTCCTCGGCGTCACAAACCCACTGCGAGATGGTAGTGTTGTAAATAACGATGAATTTCACGCAGGGAGTGCCATATGCAAACTCCCGGTGTCATCAGTAATATCTCGTGATCCTTTCATGTAATATTCACCCCCAGATTGTCTTATGTGCAATGGAACCTGTTTCGGCAGGTAGTTGGGGATTACTCCCTAGCGCTGGAACTTTTATTTAAGGGTCGTCTCTCTAACAGCTGGGGAAAAGTGAGAAGTGTGGTACATGGGAACACGGGGTGTATTTGGACGATAACAGAAACAATCCACTCGACACACGGGACATTAGATGTTAATGTCACAAAGGACATGCAAGACTCCTCACAGCTCATAAAGTATTCTACTTAGCCAGGATGATTGTTGTGGATGACTCGGCGATGATGATGGTGATGATGAAACAGATAATCTTCATCAGGTGTTGTAAATTGCAACAATGATAATTATAGGAGGCGCCCTGTTCGATTGAATATGAGGCTATGGGGTTAGTTTAGGCGAAGTAGAGCCTGAGGAAGGGTTAAGTTTGGGTGACAAAGGGTTGGGGAGGGGGTGCGGGTTTCGAAGGTGAGGGTTTTCATAGAAAGGTTCGAGTATTTATTTATTTATTTATTTATTTATTTATTTATTTATTTATTTATTTATTTATTTATTTATTTATTTATTTATTTATTTATTTATTTATTTATTTATTTATTTATTTATTTATTTATTTATTTGTATTCTAGAGCCAAATAAGAGGTTCTGATATTTAAGGAAGATCACAATATCATTGGAATTTTCAGACAGCAGTGGGTATAGGTAGTAATCCCAAGACGGATGTAGATATGGATTGTCTGTAGATGAGATCCACAGCCACTGGGAACATACGACAGATAAGGATTTAGAAATTGAAAGATATAATTTGTACCCTGCTTTACGTCAAGTACCAAGCCGCCAGTCTGGCGTAGGGTGACTGCTGACAGGTAGAATACCTGTGGGAGATAAGCCAGGCAACATTCAGGGAGCCATCCCCGCCTCATACATCTCCGTGCTGCTGGCGTCATCTCATCCCCTTCCCCTCATTAATTACCCCCGTGCCCCCGGGGGGAGCTGCCCCAAATAAATACCGCCGCCTCTGTCATTCGAAATATGGAGGAAAATCCGAGAAATATTATGAGATATTCTTTTCAATATTTCACTGTCAGTGGGTTGTCTTTGTTAGGTAAACATGGAATTGTTTTGCCATGCTTGCGTTGCCTGTGTGATCAAACATGCGTCGGTGGTGGTTTGTCTACGACGTTGTTTATTTGTTACGGTAACTATATATGTAAGCAGAATCTATTTTAGTGCAACATACTTGAGAACACTGATGATTTAGAGACACGTGTTTTAACATTTTGTGATTTTCTTGAGCACAGTCTAAAATGTATAATAGATGATAGTATATATACCTCGTTGTATCGAACTCGTGGTGACGTGGGGAAACGTTCGAGTTTTCCGGATTTTGAGACATTCAAAGCAGTAAGGTTCCGTAAGGGATACATATATTGAGAAATTATGTGTAACCATCGTTCATACCACGCTCCGACGTCGAGAACCATATTGTAACAACTAATATAATTGACTGTAAAAAGCTATAATAGCAGTCTAAGTAAACTTAGGCTCAGTATTATGGTGGCTCGTAGTCCTGTGGTCAAAGCTCAGGTCACAATCGGTGAAGTTAAGCAGCGTCGAGCTCGGAGAGTCTTTGGATGAGTGACCGTGTTTGGCAGCTTGACTCCTGAGAGTTTCTAGGACTTGAGTCCTGCCCCACAACGAAGCACATGTGACACATGTGGTCTCACCTTAGGCAAGTGAGTTTGTTCAAAATTGTCTCTGTTCACCCAGCAGGAAATGGGTACCCGGTGGAAAAAGTCATATGACTATAACCTTCTAGCGCCTAACAGGCAGCTTGGGTTATCCGGGGTAATAATGTGCTGTGCCTTGATTGTTAGCGCTATGAGCATACCTAGTGTGGAGTTTGGCGCTATATAAATGGACATTATTATTAAGTTTACTGAGACTGCTATAATACTGACGATGAGGAAAGATAATGATGGTGAAGGTAATTGATGATGGTGATGGTTAAAAGATGATGATGTGATGGTTGAAATGATGATGATGATGATGATGCAAAAGATGATCGTGTTGACTATGATAACACAGACACAGCCAGAGCCATAACCATATTTTCAAAACGCACTTTTGTCAAGTGATGTTATCGCTCGTAAATATCACAACAGCTTTCATTCGGGACTGCCACACACCGTCAACCACACACAGACAATCACGCACCTAAAACCAGCCAGTTTTGTTTGCACGTCTAAATGATAAATTTCAGAAAAATATTCTAAAAAAGGAATCTGGAAATGGTATCGAGGAGGTAGCCATTACCTCGCGGTTCCACGAGCTTTTAATGTGTTGATCCAACGTTTGACCCATTCGACTCATCACAATTATTTCGAGGCATGGTCATTAAGACAGTGGGTATTTACACAGGCAATATAAAGCTTCCAAACTCCATTTCAGTGATACCATTGATTCCTAGCCTATGATCCCGTGTTTGAAAGTGTAGTCATTTCTCATCAACTCTTTTTACGGGATTTATCAACGAGAGGGGATCTTGGGGCCAGTGCGCCGGCACACACAGGAAACGGGAGTCGCTGAGGGATCAATTCTGTTAGAAACGGGTCGTCCCTATGGGACCTGCTCTAAATGGACGAAGAGGAGTTGGTTGTCCCCCGTGTGTTGCGCAGTAATTGTTTCTGAGAGATTCGAAATCTGATTTTCACACACTATTAAACCGAAGCTCCCTTTTCTGACATAGAATGACAATTTTACAATGGAAATATCGTCCTGAAAGTCAAAGTGCAAATGAATACAGCTATTTTGCTTGGGAATGACAGCCAGCGAGCATGGCCTCTGCGATAGCAGAGATGCGACGATAAGGAGCGTACGCATTGCCGTTGGACTACAGACCTCATATCGCGTTTTGTCTATAATGAACGAATTCCCCGTCAAGATATAAAATCCATAACGCATTTGCTTACACTTTTGTTTATTGATTTGCAAAAGTGTTACCAGTATGTGTTAATGTGGCTACACTACGCGAGATTTAATTTGATAAAGCGCTGTTCTTTGACTCATTTTTTTGCCCCAAACTAGACTCATTTATACGTTCTTGATAACGAGTTGAGTGCATTGGCGTGAAATACGGACAAAACGCAGTGTGGTGGAGTTTTAGCAGATTTAGATAATGTGAATTAGCTAGGAAACCCGTTTCTACAAATAACTCTCTGCGATTATTTGGTCATTAGCGTTGGATAGGCTTATCTGTTTATGATTAGTTTCCCCGATCCTAAATATTAATTTCCTTTCAAATATGCGACCAGCGTGTATTTTCCATTCCATTTTGCTAAATTCAAGACATTAGGGCATTTGATAAGCATCTCGTTACACTTGAGAATAATAAAACTAGCTACTTATCTAACACGTTGTTTCCGAAAGGGTGATACGTGTGTGTTTAACTTATATGTTGTATATGTAAATATGTACACAGATATATCTCGTGTCTTTCAGATAAACTTGATGTTTAATTTTTTCATGTCCCAGACGTAAAACGTGTCTTCTTTTTTTCAGACATGAGCAAAGACCCTCTGGCAGGCTTTGACAACGTCAGTCAAACATCACATTTCCAGAGCGAGGCTGATAAGGCTGTGATTGACAGACCACTAGGGGAGACAACCCATCTCTCTGTAGCTTCACCCCCCGGGCAAATGAACGTAGTAAACGGCCCCTCCCCCCACGAACACAAACGCCCCGACTCTCTCTGCTCCAACAGCAATGATTCAGGTTTAAGTGACGTCAACTGCAGTTTTGCTGACGTAGGAAACAATGGTGAACAAAATGGACTCCGACCAAAGATTTGGTCTTTGGCGCGAGTGGCAACGTCGGACAATTCGTACCTTAACGGAGTGGGCATGCGTCCCTTCCCCGAATCCTCTCGTGTCATGGAGGACAAGACCCCTCTACCTTCAGCTAGTCAACCGTGGGAGAGCGCTCTCTCCACCAGCGCCCCCTACACCGGAAGTTCTCTGAGTCTAGGCGGACACAAGAACTCTGGGACAGCGAATCTTGGTCCCTCTCTAGGCGGCCTTTCTGCCAACATGAGCGCTAGTAGTTTGGCATACTCACAACTTTCTTCATTCTGTGCTAATTCCAAATTATCGCTCGACTGAAAGTATGACCCACTTCAGTGCTTTTTCATCAACGCTACGCAACTATGTGTACCTCAGTCACCTAGGAGGAGTTATCTCCCTTTCTTTGCACCTAAATTCTGGACAGGCGAAACGAAACGAAAAACGATAGCTGGCGAAGATCACACTGAAAGGAACACTTTCAAGGGCTCGACGTCACAAGATGTTTGTTACTGATAATTGATAAACAGATTTTTTTCTAAAGATTTATCTTCAATCGAGTTTACATTTGAAGTTCAATGACCACATACAGACAAAGCCTTGTTATTGTTTTTGGGTTTTTTGTAAAGTACCAAGCATAGTTGGACTTATTCAGCTGCTTCATCGTCATGACACCGTTGATGAACTTACATTGCCCATGAACCAGGGGCGATAACTAGTGTGCATCACACTTTGCAATATTTGAAGATGGAGTATTGCTTATTCATGGTCATCGTGTATAAATGTTTCAATTGCACAATTTGTGAATGTTTTCTTAGTGTACTTGTTGCCAGTAGACTCCGACCACGCCTTTGACGTGGTTTTGAAAGTTTTAGAAGGCAAATGCGTTTTTGTTTTGTAATTTTATTTGCCTAACTGATGCAGTCAGGCAGGTTGGATGAATGTTTCTTGTATGAGATGCATTTGCAGTAAACACGGGAAACGATTAGTTTCTTAAAAATAACACATGTTTAAAGTCATCAGTTAAATTATGATTCATATATAATCAAATGTCATAATCCCATGACAAAGGTACTGTAATCAATAAATGAACACAAAAATGTAAATGTTTACTCAATCGTCAAAAACACTTTATTTGTAGTGTCGCATGGGGCACGAAAACAATAGTGTCTATTCAGTTTTGTCATGTAGTGCATCATAAATATCGAACTTTAGCACAAAAATGTAAGCATAAAATATTCATTGCAAGAAAACATATTGAAAATTATGAAAATAATATCTGCAGGAGCAGGGTCAGAAAAATAGACATGTAAGTATGAAAAACATAATTTCCACTTTTAATAAACTTGTAAAACAATCATCTCTTATTATTTCCACACTTAAATTAGAATCTATTTATATTTGTAGTTTGAATTCAGCTTAATATCACGCTGTTTGTCAATTTAAAAAAATGTTTGAATTATTTATTTAAATTTGTAAATTTTTCCTGTACATTTGACGGCTGTAGGTATTTTGTATAGATCATTTCATCCTGTAGTGCTATGTATTTAATGTACCGTCGGGAATATGAGGGGGATTTTATCGAACATTTATTATCGCAAGTTATGTCTTCATATACACAGTCTATCTCGGCTCTGTCAATATGTTAATCAGAGCTACATAAATAAACTTTTCTTGTTATCTTTTGTGTTGACTTATTTTTTTCAATTTTCATGTTATCTTGCTGCCATGTATTCATTGGGCAGGAACGTCCAAATCGTCTAAGGCGTTACAATACACGGTTAAGTCCCTTTGGTGTGACAGTATCCTATGGATGTGGGTTCGATTCCCGATTCACCCTGATTATATTTCTAGGTTTGTCAGTCACGTGCGGGGTACACCAGACGGGTAAACGTATCGGATCTAAATCACTGTAGGTTTCCTCTCATGCCGTGATTTGACTCAAATGCTGTTCAAAGGGACTTAAACCACACTCACTCACTCACTCAGGTGTTGTGTACACGGGTCATACAAACGCCAGCTTCGTCATGTGGCAGATGTATCATAAGTACAAGTGATGTCATAACATTGGGTTTCTACGTTATCGAAGTTACATATTGAAGGTAAATCTGAAGGGGTTTTAAAATGTTATTAAAGACATGGTTTTAAGCACACATACAAATAAGTACAGAAGGTTCACATTGTATTTGCTGATCAGTCACATAGAAAAATGAAAGATGTTATTTCAAATATCATTGCACATTTTCTCTGAACAAAACCTAATATTTGAAAAATAAATAAACAAAGACGATGTTCCATTATCTTCCTATTTTGAAACACACAGGTGTGGATCGGGAGATTAACATGCAGACCGTCCTTTTGGGATCACTGACTACAATGGTTTGTATAACACATGAGATGGAGAAGAACGAGGCGCTCTCTCACCACTCTCTCACCACTCTGGCACCACTCCATAAGGTTATTACCCTCACTTAGCACACTCATACATAACACTGAAGGGCGAGCCTTAAACCCGCTCGCGTTTTTGGTTACAGGGAAGGAGACTGCACAATTTGTCTTTCCACTTAATTTTTGTCTAATATTCGCCATGTCGGAGACCGGTGGTAGCAAATATCACTTGACTTCTGATACAATTCCTAAAATGGCCCCGGTACCGTTTTAAAAGATTCCGTTGAAATCCGCTTTTCAGTCTCAACGGTCTCATAGCGGTTCTTTCAGAGATGAAGATGTCTATAAACCCGGAACTCGGGCTGCGGTCACTTCATTATCCGTCTGTTGGGGCGATGCTAAAGACCAGTTCAATGTCCTGTAAAATGTGTGTGCTTACGATCCCCGAATTTAATCCTTTCCAAGTGGCCAGAGCCTTTGTTAAACACAAAGTTGTTGATTTCATTTATTAAGGAGACCTGTCAGTCACATCAACGGACAATCTTTAAACACCCTCTCCTTTATTGATCAATTTCAGGATTCAGACAGAGCCGCGATGCTGCGGCACTTATTCAATGGATTAATTATTTGCTCTGTCAATCACGCAAGTCATCACCTGTCAATCTGCGTGCACGGCGTGTCCATTTCAGGTATATTAACTCCACCGTCCAAGTTGAGAAAGAGCGTTATTCTTGGAGACAAACACTCCGTCTTCTTGGAAACAAATGCGCAGAAATTCAGTTCGAGTGTTTTGCGTTGTTTCATTTACAACCGCGAGCTGGTTATATTTTAATGCATTAGCATCCCTGAGGCGGTGTAAAGACACGATTATGCTTATTTAAAGGACAAATATATTTATGTAAAAAGCCTAGTCCGTTGTAGTTTATGCACGTATTTTACAATATACGTCAACGCGCAAACCTTTGCATATGATTCATAATTCATATAAACAATAAACCTTTTAGGGACGTGTTAGTGTGAATCTTGTGTTGATGGATGAATCCTGTTCTTCTCAAGAATACCTTTAAATAACATCCTTAAAACTGTTCACAATAATGTTTCAGTATAATACATCAAATAGCGCACCGCCTGTTTTCGAATTAACGAGAGACAAAACCAAACCGCGTGATGCTAATTTTAATACATAAAAAACACTGTTTGATTTACAAAGAGTATCTTTTCATATGGCGGGCACGGCTGTCATGCGCAGTCGTGATTAATGAAATGTACGTGAAGCACGCTGAAATCAACAAGCAATAGACAACACACTCCATTACTATCACCTGAGTGACTACGAGCAGCATTGTGATATACAGGTGTACACGGCATACAGCACACGACATATGTACTATCTGACCTTATAATTCTCGGAAATATGTAGCGAATTTGTACCGCATCCGTGAGCCAAACCCACCCACATTCAACGTGTTTGTTTCAAGTTGTCAATATCGCTGTATGTGTGTAAGTATCAAGACAACAAATGGCCGAAACAAATGGGAAAGCAATGAACACGTGTATTTGCAGCCACGTGACTCCTCACTAATGAGGTCTACGTCTTGTGTTATCTACATGCTCCACACAATGCAGAGCAGGCTAGATCAAAGAGGCAAATAAACCACAATATCCCTGGAATGCAATAAGCTTGTAAATAGCAATCAATATACTATGACGGGCCGGGCTGCAGTACTACACACACGCCGATATCACATTGTGAAGGATGTAGATTTCACCATGCTTGGGATACATTGCACGGACGGTATTTTAAAGTAGCCAATGTGAGAGTATGTTTAATTCTACTCACACTTTGACAAGAATAGGATGAAGCGTATGTTGAGGGAATGTTTATCAATACGATTGTGTGTGTGAGTGTGTGTCTGAGAGAGAGAGAGAGAGAGAGAGAGAGAGAGAGAGAGAGAGAGAGAGAGAGAGAGAGAGAGAGAGAGAGAGAGAGAGAGAGAGAGAGAGAGAGAGAGAGAGAGAGAGAGAGGAGAGAGGAGGGTAAGAGTGTCTTTGTAAATAATAAATACAACAACTTTTTTAATGTACATCCACGTACCTACCTGAGGTCTATGGACAGGCACCAATTAAAACATTAAAACACATCCATGCTAAAATTAACAGTCTGGTTCTTTTTCATTTGCACAAATCAGCTAAATTTCAAAACATTGTCAGAAATATACAGACGAAGATTCACTAATGTCATGTGTTCACTCTGACATCGAATATCGGATATCTCGAACTGATCCCTCCACGGTTCCCGAAGCAGGTTACATCCGCTGCCTGACCGCGGCATGAACATATAGGTTTGGATAGTACAGTGGTTTACGCCCTCGCTTATCACGTTCAAAACCGGTGTCTCATTACAAACATTGGTACGACGTGGAAAGGCTATTCTTGGATTTCTCACATATCACTGGAATATTGCAAAAACTTAAACGTAAACCCACTTACTCCCCAAAGTGATAGCACTAATATCAATGTTAGGTGAATTTCCCAGGGTAGCCTTGTGGTATAAGCGTTCGCTCGCCATACCAAAGGCCCGGGTTCGATTCCCAGTATTACGTTTACATGTATGATGTGTTGTGCCGAGATTTTGCTGGAACATTGCCAGAAGCGGCGTAAAACTATACTCATTCACTATCTGACTGATAAGCCTGTTTAGTATGAGCATTTCGATTTTGCGTAGAATCAAATCGCTCTAGGTGAATGACCAACCAAAGTTTCAAATACAAATAAAAATGTAATAATTTCACATATGTCATATTGTGCTTGTCTTTCCATGTTGTGGGTGATATCCCGTTAGATGACCGTCTCACAGAAGAAGTTTTCACGTGTTTATTTCCAAACCGGTAATATTTAAGAGTTATTTATGCACCCTCTGAAAGATACTAAAAAAATAGATACTAAAAACTCTCAATATATTTGACTAAGGGCTGTTGTCGGCCTTGTATTGTGACAAATTGGAAATGTTTATAGTTGAAAACGACGGCTGATTTGGACATCTCTCGTGTTGTTTTTGTCTGGTGAATCAAGATGCTCTATGTGCCATATAACTCTCACACAACCACTGTTACAACGATAGGAGACCTTTCCCTGTCTGTAAAATGACGTATGTGAATGTGAGCCACAGACAGGATTTTGCAATAAACTCCACAGACAAGAACCTCGTTCAACCGGACACATTTACTAAAGTGGAAAAGAATGCCACTTGTGGCCCGAATGTAGAGCTGTTCGGATTCACAGGGAGGATTCAGGAATTGTGTCTCTCAGTGTCAGTTTGTTAACAATTCATCTTAAAAGTTTGATTCAAATATCGTTTGCATGTCATTTCTCAATAAAATTATCAGTCACAGAAATTCTGATATTCCATTTTAGGACTATTGCATAAATATAAGTTTCAAACTATGCTCATTTTATGATACAATTAGCTACATTTCGTCATTATATAAAATTCATTATTTGTTTACATTTACCTTTCATACAATTAACCTTAAATGTCTCCACTGGGGATAAACTAGCGCGTTCCATAATCATACCAAATATTCCCATGCGTTGAATATGGACAATATTGTCAAGAAAATAATCATACAATTTTATTAACACCAAAAGCATATGCTATCATGTGATTATATGTTATGTCATGTCTCATGGCACCAGTATAGGAATGGAAAAGTTGAAATTGACAATGGGTGGTATGAAATTGACACACCAAGTGTGTCTTTTAACTCTGGCATGTTGCGTGTTGATCATACCAAATACTCCAGTTCGTTGACTATTGACAATATGGACAAGATAATATTAATAAGAAAATATTCACAACAAAAGCATATGCTGACATGTGGTCATATGTCACGTCACGTCTCACAGCGCCTGTACAGGAATGGAATAGTTCATGAACATTAACACGTGGTGGCATGAAATTGACAACACCTTCAAGGAAATGCACACGAAGGGTGTATTTTAACTGTGGCATTTGATCGATCATGGGGAAAAAGTAAATAATTCCAGTGTTACTAATTAATGATTTAAAACATTCTAAGTTCTCGTCAATCCGATTATACTATCACGTTATGAGAGTTGATGCATTCCCTTACACATGAAATCCTCGTCAAACAAGCTCATGGGACATTTCTCACAATACTTTCCCCCGGACTGTCAATCAATCAGATGAAATCGAACCCGTCTACAGTGGAATGGGCCACATTGGAAATCGCACGGATTCACCTTACGCTTTTCTTAAAGAGAGTTAATTA